TATATGTATAAACATATATAAATACATATGTTATTGTTATATACTAGTATAATAATGTGATTTTTCTATGATAATAATAGCTATAATTTTGTTTAGGCACTTACATACAGTACCTCACAAAAATCCTATGAATTGGATCTTATTATTATTCACATATAATTAAGGCCTGAGGCCATATAGCCATATGGAGATTTGAACATGGGTCCACCTAACTCCAAAGCCTGTACCCAGTTTTAGAATTATTTGGGTCAAGAGTGGAATTAGCTAGCTTGCTCATTTTCATGATAGATTTCATATGTCTGATCCCCTCCTAAAGATGAAGGAAAAAAAGCTGTCAACTCTGAAGGTAGTTTCCAAAGAGAAAATGGTTTGTGAAAATGCAGTATCAATGGAATTACTGTGCAGCTACCAGGTTGACTGCTTTGATGAATGAGATATTTCTCATTAAAGTTCAAGTTATAGATTTTAAGCATGGATGAAAAACAGCAATAAAGAGTATCCTGGTAGCTTTGCCTCTGACACAGCCTGTAGCATCTAATTTGCCTTTGTCCTGAATCACAGCCCAAGTGTAACCCTTCTCTTTTCTTGTCCTCCAGAGGCCAGGCACTGTGGACTCAGTGTTATCTAGCACAGAGGCCCTTGGGAAGAGACCCTGCAGTGTGCTTGTATTTCCAAGGTGAGTGCTCCATGGGTTTCTCCAGGCATCACCAGTTCTCCTTTCTTATATGTTGTTCTAATTTGGCAGTGTTTCTCCCTCAACCTGTTATAGCTTATCCTTTTTTAGTGCAGTTTTTCTCTCTCAGCTCAGCAGGGAAAAAGAGTTTATTGCATGCACTCTATGAGAATATGAAATTCTTTTCTGAATTTTCCCCCTTTTGATCAGGATTCTTCTATAGAATCTTTGATCAAAATATTCAGTAATGGTAGCTAGGCACCATCCAGTTCTTCTGGTCTCATGTCAAGGGAGGCAGTTGTTAGCCACATAATCCATATTCTCCTCCTATTCCTGGCTCTCCTTCTTCCTCTTTTGCTTTATGTGAATAAATGCCAATTGTTAGGCCTTGGATGGCTACTTGAAAGCTTTTAAGAACACAGGTACTATGCAGTGAACTAGGAGAACAGAAGCACTAAACACATTAGCCAATTGACTGTGATGTTCCATGAAACCAAGACCCTAAACCATGGCCAAGAAACCAAATCCCATGATGTGTTTGGTTTTATACATAAGCATGCAGGCTGTAATCTTCATGAGAGAAGATCCCAAGTCTTCCTCCTGCAGAGCCAGTTAATAGCTGAGCTCTTAACCAGTGCACCACCACAGCTTCTTTCTACCAACCTTGTTGTTATGTGCCATCAAATTGATTCTGACTCATAGTGACCCTATATGACAGAGTAGAATTGTTCCATAGGGTTTCCTAAGCCATAGTCTTTATGAGAGCAGACTACCAGGACTTTTTTCCATGGATCCACTGGGGGGGTTTGAGCTGCCAACCTTTTAGTTAGCAGCTGAGCCCTTAACCACTGCACCACTAGTGCTCCTTCCACCAATCTTCATCCCTGCAATATTAGTAAAATTTCTCTCACCTGCTGAACTTTACTTCCCACCACTTCTATCCAGTTTCATCCTAGTCTTCAGTTTGGCCCACTTCCTGTCTGAGCCTTGATTCTTACCACTGACGAGGTTTTAAGGACAAGGAAGGGTAAGGAAACAGGCTCTATCCCAAACCCTTTTCTCTTGGAATGATAGAATTACACAAAGAATAAGAGAGAGCACAATGGATATTACTTGTGCCTACTGCTGCCAGTGATAATATTAATGATAAAAACAATGGTAAGGATAATATTACTGGCTGCTATCTGTGGTACACTTACTAGGTGTCAGGGAATGTTAAGCACTTTTTCAATATCATTGTATTTAATCTTCATTACAACTCTATAAGTGTTATAATTTTCTTCATTTTGTAGAGAAAACCAAAATTTAATTCATAATTATTACTTTTTTAATGAGTGAGGCAACATGATGTAGTATTAAGAACATTGGAGTCAGGAGATAGGATTTTATTTCTAGGTTGGCCATCATTCACTTGTTAGGTGTTCTTAGTCATAGTAATCTTAATTGCAGTGCCATTAACAACTATGCATTTGAGGTGAAGGAAGTTTGGGGAATAGTAGCTTCCCAGAGTATTATTTGCCCATCTTTTATGAGTCTGTGACGTCCTCTTGTGTTTGTTGGTTTGGGATTGCACCCTCCTGGAACAGCTGTGTGATACATAGTTCAGCAGTATCAGCGCTAAAGCTAGAATAAACCTTTAGAGATTAGCTAGCCCAAACCCTTCATTTTGCAGATAAAATGGTGGCACAACTAATGAGTGTCCAAGCCAGAAATAAAACCATGTCTCCCAGCTGTTCCAGTGTTCTTTTTTACTGTCCCCCGTTCTACCTTTCCAAGTCCGTCACTTTTGCTTGGGAGAGGATGAGGAATAGGAAGGAAGAGAGGAATAGTTATTTTGGGGCATATTCTGTCTACCAGGCTGTAAATCTTTGGGAGTCCTAGCTTTCATACTACCCAACCAGGGACAGAGTACCCAATAAGCAAGGTAAGCATGGGTTTACTTACTAATCTGTAGTAAACAGTTTCACATGTCACCTCTATAGATTAATAAGTAAGCACAACTAAGCCCATGCTTAGCTTGCTTACTGGACACTCTGTCCTTGTCAGGGATTGTAAATTTGAAGAGGCTTTGATTCTATAGGGAGGTGTTTTGAGTTTGGAGAATCTTTGATATAGTGGAAAAGTACACTACAAATTAGTAGCTTACTTGTGTTTACCTTGCTTATCATGGCATCTGGTTATAAAACTAGAAAAAGATATAGAAAAAAATAGAACTGAAACAAACAGAAGTGAAAAACTTTAATTCCAGGTCTTCAAAAGTAGTTTCTCTCAGGGGTTTGAACTGGTTCATTCCAGTTTGACCCCATGCTGAGAATTTGCATTTCCACCCAGATTCTGATTTAGTATATTTGTGCAGAAATGCAGTTTCTCAGCAGGAGGTTGAAGTGGAATGAGCCGGTTCTAAGCACTAATTTCTCTATGAACAAGTTGCTTTTAAGATCACAGAGCAGATAGAGTAAGGTTTTAGTTGGTTCCCAGATTTAGCTTCAGAGAGAGCGATCCCATAATATGTGTTCAGCAAACCAAAGCATTTGCTCCTTGAGGGCAACTGGTTGCCATTGAGTTGACTTTTAATTCCACCCTATGTGTGTCCAAATAGAACTGTGCTCCATAGGGTTTTTAATGACTGATTTTTTCATAAATAGATCACCAGGACTTTTTTCTGAGGTGCCTCTGTGTGCACTTCATCCTCCACCTTTTAGTTAGCAGCTGAGCACAGTAACTGTTTTCACCACCCAGAGACACCCCCTTAAAGGACATGGGCGTTATTTCAGAATCATTGAGCTGGCTGAGTTGCTTCTTGGAATGGAGAGGTTACGGTCACCTATTTCAGCCCAGTGCTGTGGATAAACATCTTGAGTTGTTCCTAGGATTGATATCAAGGAGACAGAAAACAAACCACCCATGGAGACCATTATAGAAGAAGGTGGAGAGAATAGAGCAAGGAAGTGCAAGGTTAAAGAGCACTCGGATAAAGAAGGCATCAGAGGTAAGTTTCTGAGTAGTCTGTCACCTTTTACTGCTTGTGAACTCAACCGTATTGCTTATTAACTCATCTGCTCAAAATAAAATTCATGAATAATCACTGGATTTCTTGTAATTAATAGCTTTTGTTTCTGAAATCCTATCTCACTGTACCCACTCTCTGCTTAGACTCTATGACTCTCAGACTTTTAGACTTTGTCTCTTCACTGGCTCCCCCTTGCTTACAGGGGTCAAAACTCAGGTATTTACAGGGTCCAGGCAGGTAACATAAAGGAGTTAAGTGGGCTGGATTTCAGACTATAGCAATGTAGGAGAGCTCTAGTGGCATAGTGCCTAAGACAGTTGACTGCTAACCAGAAGGCTGGTGGTTCAAACCCACCAGCCACTCCTTGGAAGGAAGGTTGGGCAATCTATTTCCATAATGATAGTACCTTGGAAACCCAAGGAGGGGTTGATTTGAATCGGGTCCGATGGCACATAACAACAACATGGTGAAGTAGAGAGAGCATGTCCTCTTGTGAGGAGCAGCTGTTTCTGAGGTGCCTCAGCACAGCAGTTCTCAAACTTTGGATCTCTGGACCTCTTTATACTTGAAAAAATTATGGGGTACCCCAAAAAGCTTTTGTTTATGGTACTTACATCTGTTGATATTTACTATATTGAAATGAAGAATCAGAAAATTTACAAATATTTATTTATTCACTTAAAATGACAATAATAAATCCATCACATGTTAACATAAATAATTTGTTATGAAATGTGAATAGTGACAGTTTTACATTTTTTTTTTAATTTGTTTGATATCTGGCTTCATAGAAAGAAACTGAATTCTCTTATCAAGTTCTTCATTTACTCTGTTGTGACATGTTGTTTTGGTTGAAGAATATGAAGAAAATCCTAGGACCTTGAAAACCTTTTGAAAGGGTCCTAGGAACCCTGAGGACTGTTTCTCTAACAGATTGTTGATTTGTGGAAATATGAACCAAGTGATATCAGATATTCTGATTGTTCAAAAAAAGCACAGATCCTGATTTTTATGTGACTATTAAATGTTAGTAACTAATTGATATGTTGTTATGTGCTGTCGAGTCAGACCCGACTCATAGCGACTTCTCCTTGAGTTTCCGAGGTGGTGTAACTACAGAAGTAGATTGCCCAGCCTTCCTTCTGAGAAGTGGCTGGTGGGTTTGAACTGCCAGGCTTCTGGTTAGCAGTCAAGTGCCTTAGGCACTATGCTACCAGAGCTCCCAACTAATTGATATAGAAACAAAAAACACTAATTGAGCCAAACAAAACATATCACATTGACTTTTAGCCTCGTATTCACATGCTTTCATCTCTCTAAACTCTTCTGTATTGTTCCCTACATGAACTTTTTTTTTTTTGAGCAAAATTGTCTGTTTATGTTCTAATACGCTTTGCTTTTCCATGACTCCATGCCTCTATCCCTTCTTTTTCTCTTGCTTGGACTACTTTTCTTTCAATTTATCCCTTTTTACACCCTTTTCACCTCTTGCTTCCTCCATGAAAATTTCTCTCATCATTGCATTCCTGAAGTGGCTTCTCTTTCCTCTGAATATGTCAGATCCTTAAAGATGGCACCATTCATTTGGGATTTAGACATTTTGCATCATCGTCCTGAGTTGTATTTACACAAAGTGTGTATAGCAATTAGCACTGTTGGCACATAATTAAACCTTCAAATATGAGAGTTCTCATTTATATTTTATTTTCCCTTCTAATTATATATATATAT